AATCTGAACATTCCTATACCGATCTAATACTATATGCACGACGCAAAATTTCTCAAAAGACATCCGTCACAACACTGGATCTGATATCGTGCGAACTTAAATTCCCATTTCCAACAGTGAACTGGCGGTGGTTGTGGCCCGGTGGTAACGTCACCATATTATCACCCTGGAGATGTGTTTCAGTCCCACCACCACCGCCTGACTTCATCCATTATGTTGAATGGCAGCCCTTTGATTGGCCGCTCATCCTTCCTGAAAATTGTATCTTTGTATATTATTGTATATATATATATATATATATATATATATTGTATATATTCAACAAAAGGCAGTAAAACGAAAAAGAAAGCAAAAGATCGTGCTGGCACGTATCACTCGAAGGATTGTAAAGCTGGGCACTTTTGACCCCGTTGGGCTTCGTAGCCGATGAGCTGTAATACGCAAGCGGTTCTGGTGTTTAGCCCATTTTAGTATTTATAATGTTTAAACTGGTTACCAGAAATACTGCTGCGGGAGTAGGTGGTGGTGGTGGTGGTCAAGTGAATGTGTTCGAATCCCATCGCGGTCGTCTAACTTTCCTTATTTCTTATGTACTGGCCGTTTTATCCTTCCTGAAAACCGTCTGTATCAAACATTTCATAAAAGGAAAATAAAAAAGGATGAAAGGCAAGCGTGAAGAAAATAACCCCCTTAATTGTCAATGGTCCGTACGACGGAATTCCAAAAATGCGAAATTCAGCGACTTGATGGTTGGGATCAAATGATAAAAAAGAATGCATAAATAACAGATCTGATATGATACAGACCTCACGCGCCAGACGCAAACCACGTTCCCAGGGTGTTTCTTCTTTAGCCGGAGAGTTTTCTCCGATTAACTCCATCTAAAATAAGAAACATAAGGACGAGGATGAAACATGCCGTCAACTAGCAAAAAATGAAGAAAAAAGCATAGAGGCTATCAAGCGTGGCATAATAAAAATCGTAAGTTTCAGCTTATCGCAAAACCGGAACCCAATTGATAATTGAAGAACATAGCAATAAAGGTTTGTAAATGAAAAATATTACATATTACCAGGCAGATATATGCTATCGAGCTTGTCCCAAGGTCTCGGGTAGGGGAACGGCCGCGAAGTTGCAACTAAAGGTGAACTGCCTGGGCTTTGACTGACGGAACAAGCGGTAGAAGATGAGCGCCAATGCTTGAGGATTTGGTAGTTTACCACTTAGTAAGAGTTTTCTGCACAAAACACTGCTGTGATGTACTAAATGCAGCCAACTATTAAATACGGTTATTGCCCTTTTGTCAAGTCTCATGTACAAAATTATCCCAAGGTGAATGAATTGCACAGTAGTCCACAAACTCATCTAGTATCGGGTGTCTTGCCGTTCTGGATCGGTTGCGCAAAGGCTGGAACGCAATTTCGAACAAGGCCTACTCTGGACCGGATGACCAAGTGGCACAATAGCCTACGACGTAGACAAGAATGAACGTTTTTCAATCACCCGTTTAGGTTGTTCCTAACAATCTCCGGTAACTGGCAATGCTACATTATACCCATATTCTTACTTCCCTTAATACCCCCGAGCTTACCTCTATTCCACCCAACATTCAAACAACGGGAATGCGTTAGGAGCAGTACCTCCGCCCGACCTACCCCTGTTACCTAGTGTTCTACCTTGACCAGCTGACAAGTCTTGACGAGTCACCCACCTTCGGCGGCTGTTCTTTACCCTTGATGTTCCTTCAAAATAGCAACATGTAGCGTGCGGATCCTGATTCGTACGGGTGTTTAGCTTGCATGCTTGAGACTTTAGCCACCGCGGTTTTTCATTAAAAAGACTTGAAGCTTCACCTACGCCATTCTGGAGGCCCTAGAGCCGCGACTTTTTGAGTGTCTGATGGTAGTGTGACTCTCAGTGAGAGGGCAGAAGCAAGGCCGCTGGATATGAACAAAGGTATATTTTACCGACTGCTACACGATCCTTTCCGTAGAGCAAATTTGGCCAAGATAGTGATTTTAGCAAGAGAAACGAATTCGGGGTAGGCCGTCTTCAAAAGATGAAAGGTACTTTTGTGCTGGATTCCAGTAGCTCTGAAGACGTGGAACAACTATTGGATCTACATTCTGGTCGTCGCCTACTCCTTGCAAGTACAAACTTTACTCTNAGTGTCGGCATATCGGATGATATTCGCCTTTCTCTGGTCAGCGATGGAACGAATGAAGGAGCTGCATACAAGACTGCATTTGCTTTTGCAGCACGTTAAATCCGACAATGCATTGTTTAGCAGTTAGCTGTCTTTGTGCTTTGGGGGGGGGGGTTCTAAGCGCACGAAACAGCAACTGTTACTCTGTAATGATCTGTTTCAACAAGCTCGTCAAAATTCGCCAGCTAAAAAGTGAGAACTAGTCTCACCTGCTAACGTTTAACAGCGTTGATCATTCATCATGAAAACCCCCAATTCCGATGGCCAAGGGAGCAGTGACCTGAAGGGTGATGCCGTGACATTCTGAATAGCCAATGTATTTCTAAATCTGCTGGACACATACTTGTTAATCCCTGTGGGCAGTAAGCATAATGAAATGCTGCCCGTAACCAGATGTGAGCTAAACATAGGCTTACGCAGAAATCGCGAAATCTGGAGGTGTCATTTAAAATGGTACACGTTATCACTAAGGGAAATTCCTGTCTACTTTTCCGTCGCATAAGGCTCACCGATATGAAAACTGGTATGAACGAAACGACCTGTGAGGCTGACTAGGCGATTCACAATCAACGACTGTGTTTTGCACGCTAGGTAAGGCTTGATTAGCCCTCAACATCGGCTGTACACAAAGCAATTCCACTACATATCTGGTAGTTTCTTTCGACAGACCCATCTTTTCAGACAGAAACACACAATAAAAACCAAGCACATAACAGACAACCGCACTCTGATGGCTTTCCTCCAGCTGTATTCAAAGATGGTGGAAGGAAACTCGTTAGATAAAAGTAAGTTTTGTTCTCCAAGGTTTAGAGCACTGTTTTCATGGGATGCATCAATTATCAGTCTTACAGAATGCCCCACGCATTGATTGAGCAAGCTAAAGGGATGGACAACGGTTTTCACACACCACCCCATTGATTTGCAAGTCGGACTTTGGTTAGTCAAAAGCTTCGGTTGTGAATTCCCCGAGAAAATTCACTTATCTTGGCTTGGGCAACTTGGTAGATTCCATCCACAAACAAATAAATGAAGATTATAGTACTACGATTTGTTTGGCCCATAGTCTGGATTTAGAAGCGTGTAAAATGCATACACACATTCCACTGTACCATTTCTATGATTTCTTTATTTCAACACGTAACCGATTGGACAGAACTGGCAAGTGTGCCACAACATATGAACAAAAAATCCGTAGAATGTGTTCATAAGCTATGTGGGCATGTTACTTCCCGGTTGCCCTGATCGAGGAAGGGGGATAACCTCACCCGGAGCCTTTGGCTAGAAAGCCAGATCGGTAAGACAACAGGAAAGAGCTGGGTCCGCAGTTCATTATGGGCCGGTGTTTAGTTGATTGGATCATACACCCTTTGGACAGGCTCAAAAGTCCAAGGTGCCAATAGACCATGATGATCAATCGAGTGGGTGATCACTGCCACAACTAGGAAGATGTATGTGTGGTTCGTACGCCTCCTCTTGGTTGGTTTGGGATCAGAGTTTTGAGCCACCAACTCTAGGTGAACTGCCAATGGTTCGCCAACTCGGTTATGGTCCCTGGATGTTGGCTTTTCGTCCTCTCACTTTGGTGGGAAAACACTTCTGCCCCTCGGGAAGACAGTGATTAGGTCTTCCTCAGCAGAGGATATTTGAGACGCTTGGTCGTATGGAAGCATTTCGCGAGGAGCAACGGGTGACCAATTTACTGAATACAATAGACATGGAGCTACGATAAAAGCTAATACTATGTTGCCGATCAAGACGGAAATGATCACGCAGTGATTTGCGCAGTCGTAGCGAGATCCGTTCTTAAAAAAGGGAACTATCCGTGAGTCGTCTTAATAGTGCGAAATAAGCTCTTGCGACCACATGTTATGCAGTAGGTCAGTGAAGGGAATCTACGAAATTATCAACTCCATCATGGAAAGTTGGAGACGACCCGTCAGGTTTCGCTGCTTTACCTCTCCTCAGAGCTTGAATACCAGATTGTAATTCTGCTCCTAACAGAGCCTCAGCGTTAGAACGAATTCTGGCTAGCGCCAGGCCAATGTTGTGCTTTTGTGGGGAAGGGAATCTAGATGGCCTGTAAAATCGGTAGAATAACTCAAGTTTGCTGTCGGGACAAGAAGATGCTCCACCCCAAACGTGGTTCCTTTTTAAATACCTTAACGGCAACAAGAGAACCAAAAGAAACACGGGCACAAACAGGGTTTCTCGTATCTAGACGCAGCTATGACTCGGAAGAATAGGTTATTGGATTATTGGAGAATTAAGGGTTACAGCTAGAGCAAACATGCAATAAAATGTAGGAGTCAAGAAGTACTCTAAAAGGAAAATTTTCTGATTAACGTTCAATGGTTCATTATCATGGGTGTTGCCACGAAACGAAGTGAAGGGACACTTAAGCTACTGCAGTAATTTGATTATATATACTCGGGGAGCATAATGTTCGAAATTGTAGTAATACACATTACCTCTAAGCAAGCACCATTCTTATTTCGGACCATGCTGCTGAACCGGATCCAGATCACCCGGATGTTTTCACTTGTCAACTATTCCTTTCCCCATAGTTACTTACGCGCACGGTTTACAGTATTTCGGTACAATTTTTGTCTAGGTTTCGTGAATTTTCTGCGTTTCGAGAATACGTTAGGATCGCAAAACAAATTTCCGTTCCTCAGAGCCCAGCAGCAATGCTCAGCTGGCGGTAGGCCTTTAATTATTTTTTCCAACAACTGCACTTTCCTGTCAATCTGCACCATCGGAGAGGTTGCTCCAGGATTAGAAGTACTCGGTGCAGTGATAGTCAGGGGGTTAGGGCCACCGGAAATGACATGCTTATAGCTGCAGTGTATGAAGTTCGAGCCCCGCCGCATCCGCTGTTACCCAACTCTGTTCATAGGCAGCTTCGCCGTTGCTCGGTCCAATGTCACGCCTAAGCTAATAGGGTTTTAAGTGGTTCACCACTCCACGTCCTGGGGCTTAGCTTGCCAATTCACGAGTATTACGTCCCCGAGAATGAGGTTCATTTCCTCTGCTCGTCATACAATATTGTACAACAAAAACACGTAATCCATAAGCGCACGTAAAGCCGGAAAAGCCACTAGAATGCTATAGACATACTACAGTACTGTCTCAACTTGATATTGTCTTAATTCATTTTTAAATATTACTTGCTTCGTTTTCAATCAAATGTCAACTACATAAAAGCCCTCTTCCAACTCAGTGGATATTTTTTCAATAAAACTTACCTCCTCCAGTTCAGACGAAACCTCGCCTTCTTCGGAACTCTTGTCATCACTGATATCGGATTCTTCTTCACTTCTCAGTTCTCCCTCGTCGTCAGAATGTGGTAACCGTTCAGTGCTTGAAGTGCCATCTTCATTACGGTAGAACTTTCCCGATTTTCTTTGTCCGGGTGCATGGTGGAAGGTGTTGTGCTCTAGGACCTGGAAAATGACGGAAATCAAAGGAAAATAGACAACGGCACTTTTGAGTTTGAATATTCCTGATAGTTATCATCCTCAAAATCCAACTGGTCATCGACGTCTTCAAAAGCGCTCGTGTCACCTATGAAAACCCTGTGGAGAACAAAGAGGGAAACAAACCCAAACTAATCGCCATGTGTTGCGCACACCATTAACGCACAGCGTGACCTTCAGAAATTCAGTTCAGTCAGTCAGCCAGTCAGTTTGCACAGGACAGGAGATGGCCACGGCCTATCGAGCGTCCAGATTTCCTCCGGTAGTAAGTCCCGTTCCGGCCCCTACCACTGCGAGTGTTCTATATTGCAGTTCTACACGTTTTCTTCACGTCTCAGTTGTCTCCGTCTCTGCAAGGGAAGAGGGTAAAGAAAAAGTATCTTCTCCCCTTGTTCACGCGAGAGACCTCACGTTTGGAAGCGTTCCCCGGATGGGGGTGGTTCAGTTTAGTTCAGTTCAGTTCAGTTCAGTTGCACAGGACGAATATGGCTCTTGCCAATCGAGCGTCCAGTTCGTTGTGTTGTCGGCGAATGGGAGTAGCTTCCAACAATGCGTACGGTTGATTGAGTATTTGTGATCCTCACACTTCAACCCCGTGTCGAGAACGTTGTCTCCTTAGGGGTATGCTGAAAGGGAGGAAAACAAGCAAAGATATCTCCTCATTGGTTAGAGACCTCAAGTACACTTGCGCTAGTATACATGTAGTGACACGCCACTTTCACCTTTTACCTACGACTTCTTTTCTACTCGC